ATGCATTTTCTTAGATTAATTTAGTGCAAAGCTATGATATTTGAATGCAGTTGTTGACTGCTTTTATAACAGTCATGTAAATAATACTAACTAAAACTGGCTTAGCATAAATTTATAATAAAGCACTAAGTAGGCTTGAACTCAACAAACCCATAGTTTTCTGGATTAGTATGCTAGCTTTTATGCCCCTACCCATGTTATCATATGTAGAAGGAGAATAATCTACCAAGGATTCTATAAAGGTTTTTGCTCTAATTATTTCTTTCTAAGCGAGGTGATGAAGCCACTAAGATGCATGAGATTACAGAGAGTGAAAGAGCATGAGAAAAATCATTACGGAGAGAGGACAATAAAAGATGGAGAATTAAGACAAAAGATGTCATTTGACAGTGCATTAAAAAGTTGACTGGAAAGCAAGCAGCTGGAAGCGAGAAGCGTGAGAGAAGAAACTCTTAGTATAGAACTTATGCATAACCATTTCCAACTGCAAAATGAGGAGACATTGCTGCCAATCTAGTATAACATTCCTGATTCTTTTTTGGATTATATCAAGAATCTCAAGATATATAGCAGTTTTCTTCAGAATTCCAAGCTGGTTACAACTAAGACAAAAACCTGAAGAATGCTCTAAGAAAGAAGAGTTGAAATATAACTACTAAGATGAAATCACTTTCACTGGCCCGACAACTTGACATGGTCACTGGGGTGCAGATAATACATGTCTTGGGCAGGAATAACCTAACAAAACCCGTCCTTTTCAAGACATGACCACAGCCAAATTTCTCCTTCTAGATGGTTTGTCAGGAACATGTGGCTGTTGTAGATTGTCTCAACACCTTCCAACCTTGCCAGCATTAATTAGGACAGTCACTAGACTGTTTAAATCAGTGTATTCTTCTTCTATATGACATGTTCCTTCAAGACATAGGTGATCATGGCTTTCTACAACTTCCTGTACTTTGTTGTTCGTAGCAGTGTCTTTTTGCTATGTCTCTTTATCCCTGTTCTGCCAACTATTTATACAGGCTTGTCAAGTAAGTTATTCTCTGCTTTCATTTGTCCCTCAACATGTCCTGTGAGTGTTAAATTTTACAAGCCATCTTTCCTTATAGAAATTTCAATTGTCTTTTTACATGCATGTATAATAAAGATAATTCCTCCTCTCAAAATTCCAGACAGAAATTGGTATGGAAACTGTCATTCTAAATCAGAGGTGAACAAACTGTAACCCATTTGATGATTTTACATGGTCTGCAAGAGCACAATAAGCATTTTTTAAATGTTCATTAAAAATGTTATTTTTTTGGATACATGTCACACAAGATAGTAATCTATTTGAAACAGGAAAAAAAAAAAAAAAAAACAACAAAAGGCAGAAGCTGTTGGGGTCTGTCTACCCATGTTTTTGTGGCTATCTGAGTATCAGGATTCCAAACATTTAATAACAATACATCTTTTAAATGAAACATAAAAAAGGTTATTTTCTGAAGGAAAAGTGGAAGTAGAATATCAGTTGAAATAATGTTTATATATTCTTTTCAGAAATATGAAATTAAAAAGTTCAATTTTTCTTGCAGTGATGTGTGCTTTATAAAGTAATTAAGTGTTCTTAGTATGATGTGAAATGTGTGGACAGACTTACTTTATAATGGTCAGCCTAATGTGTTTCAGAGTTCATAGACAAAGGCTTAGTAGGTGGTTTTTGGTCAATCCCTTCTATTGTGTGCATGGACAAGGCCTTAGACAGTGGCTGCTGGCTGTTTCTCTTCTATTGTGTGCACATATATGTGACTGTGTGTAGATCAATCTAGCTTCTGCATTGGTTTTGAACCCCAAGAAGAACTATGCATCTATTTTTATATCCATAAGGGGATCCAAAATCTAATTTCACAGAGGTGTGAACTTTTTGAACACAAGGTTTTCATTGGTTAAAAAATAATTTCTCACTGGCTCATGTAAATCTTTTTCTTGAATTTGTGAAAGTAGTGAAGAGAGTTATTATTTTCTAAATGTTCCAAAAATAATGTGATAGTTCTACAATTATGTTCACAAGTATTTTGGCAGTATTTGTCTTTGCAATGATTGTTTTGTCAAACAAACCTTTTGGTGAGAAAATATATATAGGATTTAATTCCTATAATGCCATTTATATTTAATAGTGAACTTAATTTCTCAAAAAACTCACTTTGTACAAAAATCAACATATTGTATTATATACAACCACGTGTATCTGGATTGTTATGCCACAAGATGTTAATGTCCAATTATTGGCACAGTATATAAACTGATATAGGGATCTAGGTGCCTGTGTGTACTGCAACAAATGTAGAAAGAGCAGCAGGTGATTTTCAACTGCAGTTGATGGAACTGCAAAGTGACAACTTACTGAAGGAGTATTTTCAGGATTTCAAGCTAATAGAATTTTATTATTCATGAATAGACAGTTTTGTATAAACATTAACAAACCAAAAAAAACAGGTTTCAGATAATAGACTTGAATATGCAATCTGTTTTGTTTGCATTGATAAGTGAAATGAATCCTGATTATGAATGTAAGTAGAAAAATCTTCAAGCGAAATTTTTTTTGGATTCCAAAAAAAATTTTACTTGAAGATGGAACAAAGTTTGGTATTTTAATTCAATTTAAGTCAAATAATTATATTGAAATTTTTGGCTCTTGTTTTGAAACATGGGAACTCTTATGTAGTATTTGGAATCATATTTTTAAATAATTATATTTATGCTCTACTTTTGTATCGAGCACTATTTTTTTTAAAAATAATAACAAAAATACTAAAGAACTTTGGATTATTTACCTAACAAGTTCTTTTATATTATATTCTATATATATATATATATATATTTTTTTTTTTTTTTTTTTTTACACACACATATATATATATATATATATATATATATATATATATATATATATATATATATATATTTGTCCCACACAAAAAATTAAAACACTTGTAATCAAAATGAAGCAGTAGATGAAGTGGATGACTAAAGAGCTCTTATTGATAATGTCCTTATGTTTTTATTCATGACACATGAGATTTTCCCCCACCCCAAACCACAATTAACTACTACATCTGTTACCATTGGGGTGTAAACGACTATAGAACTATTCTCACCAATAAGCTGTCATGTGACTTTCAATGGAACCTTACAGCACCAGTAAATTCATTCTGTAATACATCCTTACACATTGTAATATAACAAAATCTTTTATGTGTATATATAGTGTCATGGAAATCTATTCTGTTTATGTTAAGCATCTGATTAATTGTATGCTTCATTGACTTTGAGAAAAGCTGAGTAAACTGCAGTATCATTATAATCAGTCTGTTGACCTGATATGAGCACAAGGTCAGAGACGGTGCATTCTACCCTTTAACCCACAACTTGACTGACTAAGCTTGATTGGAGGCTCTGGGGAGTGCTTAGTGAACCTCATTATCTTAACATTTACTTTTTTTCTACTTACATTATGTAGTGTTTGGAATTACAAATTAAATTAAACAACTATTAAAGGATGGCAAATTTTGTGCATTTTGATGCCATTGTGTGTTTTTTTTTTTTGTACAAATCTGTGAATTTGTTTTGGTCATACCAAGTCTTGAAAAAACACTTTATAAAATTCACTATTTGTTTATCCATAAGGTTGAATGTGTTAAAATTATTCAACTTTTTAACCAGGAAAAACTCAAGTTAATGTTAAAAATTTCTGTAATATATTTATGATGGAATGATCTATTGTGATAGGTCTATAATTTGTGTTTATTTTCAATTTTTCTAGTTGAATTCTTTGCCTATATTGTATATGAACCATTATTGTACATAGCTAAGTTACAATAAAATGTGTGTTTTATATGAATACTACCTTATGACAATTGAGATGTAGTAGAGTGGGAGGCCCCATATCATAGATTTGGTGGGGGTACCATAGATTGGGGTGGTGGCAGCACAAGACCCTTGCACTGGTCCTGTATAGAGTTAATGTGAAACTAAAAACCAGCACATTCCACATGTCTCAGTAGATATTCAGACATGCATAGTAGGTCTTGAGCGAAGTAAACCTGGTGAAGTCCATTCATCTCTGGGGGTCAGACCACAGCTGATGTCCTCCGACTTGAAGGCTTGTCTTATTGATTGATTTCTTTTCTATGTCTTATCAGCTCTTTGCAGGTTAGTTAAAGTCAGAAAATATTTTCAGCTTGAAAAAAATTTGCAGGGTGTGGGGAGATATTAATTATTGAATCCAGGTTGACATCATTACCTTCACTTTCATGTAAATACTCCTGGGAAAGGTGAGAATCAGTCTCTTCTTCCTCCAGCTTATTGATTAAATATTAGGTTTTGATTGACTGATTCGTTTTCTATAACCTATCAACCCTTTTCAGATTATTTAAAGTCAGATAATAAGGATTTCATAATACAAGTCTTACTAATTAACCCATAGCTGAAAGGAGAAGAGGTGGATTCATACCATTTCCAAGGGCATTTGCACCTGAGTGAATATAATGACCCCAATTGGAATTGGAACTCAGCTATCCGATTAATAATTACAAGCCATTATCTTTTACACTACCCACACATCCAAGCTTACAGTATTTCCAAGTTGTCACCTATCTAGGTACTAACCAGGCTCAACACTGCTTAACTTTGGTGATTGTACAGGAACCAGGGTTTCAACATGATGTGGCTGTAATCCCAAGGCTTGTCTTGGACACATGGCCATAGATTCCAATGAAAGCACTTTCTACTCTAGTCATTGACTTTAGTCTATGCCAGCAATGCTAATTCCTCACTGTCCTGAATAAACTGACAGGACTTCAGTTTCATGTGAAGAGTTAATCTGCATCCAGTTAAAACCCACTAAAGTACAATGGAGAAGTGAAGGTCATAAATTTATATAAATTATCAAAATTTTTAGAAACTGCATCAGTTTCCTCTAAAATTGGTTAACAAGACAAAAAAAACATCTTAATCACTTACCTAAATTTTCGTCTGTATTCATCACTTGAAAACGGAAAATAATTGGATCGGTTGTCTCAGCATTTAAAGTGAGCACAATTGTTGGCCTGCAAGAGTCATCTTCAAATTCCAGCTATAAAATTTAATTGATAATCACATCACTTGTGATTATGGAAGAGATCATTTTAGAAGAAAAACATTCTTTAGAATTTTTCCAGTTCTATATAAAATTTAAAAAGAAATAATTCTTCACCTTATTTTTTGATTTCCCATAGTGGTAGATAAAAAGGGAATGCAGCAAATAAGCTTAGAAGTGATACAAATGGGCAAGAACAGGGGTTAACTGGAAATTATGCAAATTAACTTTGTCTCTCATATAACCAATTTTGCCCAAATCTCACAAATTTAAATTAATATAAAAAAAAAACAAAAAAAAAAAAAAACAAGAATAAAATCTGCACCAATTTTTTTTTTTTTTTTTTTTTTTTTACCAACCTTTAAAATTGCAGAATATTTATTTCTGTAAATGTCCCTTGGTGAAAGATATATGGACAAAGTGGGTTCAAGCAAAGAAATCTTTTCTCCATTTTTATTGTCCCAACATAAATATTCTCTGCGAGGTCGTCTCACCAATGATAGATATGCAGGTAATGTTTCCACATAGATAATATCTTGTAAAAGATGCTGTAATAAAAAAAAAATTTCATAGAATATTTTCTTGTACCAAAGCTGCACTTGTAAAATGTTTGTTTCAGGATAAAGCATGTATCTATGTTTTTCTGTTTCTCTCACTCTCATAGTGGCTGCTGCTACTATGAATGCATTACCTTTCAAATATGAATTGAGTTCTCTTAGCTGCTGGCATATTTCATATAGAAAACTCTAAAATTTCCCTTTGTCTCTGCTGTGCACAGACAGCTTAGGGGTAGGATCTTTGACTGACACCAAATCAGTAGATTTTCAATCCTGGCTTGAAGCAATTGAATGTCTAACTATACTGAATAGCTATGATATAGTGAAACTGTCTGTGGATGACTATATATATATATATATATATATAATGTATGAGAGAGAGAGATGCATATGTAGGTAGCAATCTCATTAATATGTTTCATTAAAAATGACAAGGTGTTTTTTGCTTTTCTGGTGTGTGAAGAGGATGCCGTTTTTGAAATGCATGTATTGTTAAGAGAATCTATTTTTAAGAATGAAACTGAGTTCTGGGTCATTTAGATCAAAGACTTCAAAGAACTCATTGATGTGGTCAGATAACCTGACAATGGGGGTTTCATCTGGGTTTTCTTTGGTTAGTGCCAAAATTAAGCAAGTTGGTTGGCAGAGTGAGTTGTAAAAATCTGCTTCAGAGCATTATTTTTTTTTTTCTACCATTCACTGACTGGACGTGCAAATGTAAGCAAAAAGAAAGTTACTTTGATGCATTTTTAAATTCTTGCCGCTAAGCCTTCATGTTTTTCCCTTCTTAACTGCTGACCAAATCACTAAACTTAAAATCTTTTTGTTTGCTCTAACAAACTTAGTTGGTCTTCTTCCCTTTACTTTTTGTCTTATTTCTTTTGTCACACATGTTACAGTATGTAATGTCCAAATGATTGTTCATTCTAAGCATTTTTGGCTAATCTCTTAAACAATTTTCAGATTTTGGTTATGCTATTGCAAATGGTGTTTAGGTTTCTGGGTCACACACATATTTTAATTTTACAAACACAGTTACTGTACAAAACACTTAAAAAATAATAAAAGTACCCCATCATAAAAAAATAAAATTGAAAGAAAAAAAAAAAAAAGCACCAACATTTAACACCAGCCATAATGTCCTGGGCAGATTTATGATATAAAAATATGTCCACATCTCATCAATCAACAGGCTATTTGCAATAGCACACATGAATTCTTTGAAAATGGCCAAAAGATTAGCAGAAAACACTTGGGAAAATCAATCATTCAGAAAATTTTTACATATGTATGCATGTAATTTCCTAGTAGCTAGCAGACAAGGCTGCCTTAATACTACTGCTAAAATCTGTGTTGACAAATAACACTGTTCATATGATTTTTATGTTTCTTAACTCAATATTACTAAACCAGTTTTGTAATATAGTATACTCAAATAAATATAAAAAAAATCTGAGTAATTAATTAAGATTTGAGAATTTCAGCTTGTATAACAACAGACGAACAACTCTGGTCAAAGGCTTATGGAATAACTGAAAAACTAATTTTTGCAAACTAATACAAGCACTTTTATAATTGAGAAATTGGCTCCAAAAAGACAAAGTTAGATTTTATTAAACTCATAGGTTTATAAATTGATTTTAAATAATATAACTTAAATCTATTGCATTTTTCTACAATTCTTTTAAATATATATATAGAAACACACAAGTGAAAGGTATGTATAGTTGCAACATGTCTGTTACTTAATGATGGAAAATGCATTTATTTTTATTATTTTTTAATCACTTTGCTTATCAATATACTTAACCTAACGTTTCCAAAAAGAAATAATTCAATGAAAAATTAATATTTTAAAGAGAGAATGAGTAATTAATTACATTAAAGTTTTGCAACATCAGAGTTTGAAAAGCTCAGTTCTTCTCCATTAAACATTGCACAGTGAAAATTTCAGTTCAAAATTCAGCTAATAATTGTTACAACTTGTACTTTATATATTATATATATATATATATATATATATATATATATACACTGGTTTGAAAATAGCAGCAAGCATTAGTTTATAAAATAAACATTAAGGAACAGACATTTCATAAAGGTGTATAAGTACACCCATAGCAGTAGAAGTGTTATTTATAGTTACCAATTTAAAAAGAAAAAAGTCTAAAAAGAAAAAATTGCAACATTTATCAGCCTTCTGGTTTGTTCTTCATATACATGTGGTAACACAAATTTAACACCATTTCCAATTTTGCTGGTAGAAAGTTCATCAGTGAACATTCAAATTTTAGAGCCAAGGAGATTGATATTAGTTATGACAAGAAGTAGTCTGAAAATTCCCAAGGGAAAAAAATAAAATAAAAAACCAAAAGATATTGTGCAATACGATTTTTGTCCTTGGGTAACAACTGTTACTTTCTATATGCTTAGAAAGTGTGAAAAAAATCGCTAATATTTCCTTCAAACTTATGTGACCAGGATAATGATATTCCTAAAATGTACCTATTTCCATTGGAAAATCTGGCAAATGCAAACATTCTCATTCACACAAAATAGAAGTAAAATGACATATGATTCAAGAGTACCATTTACTTATTCTAGGATTACACAAAAAACACCACAAAAAAAATTTAGAAGAGAGTACTTTTTGCAATTTATGCTTATACTTTAAATTACTTTCATTAATCAGTCCTTAAATATAGCCTCCCATTATGTTTTTGTTATATAAACCTTGGTGGCAGTGTTCAAAGTCCAGTATATCCTGGTAGAAGTGCTCGCTTTGCTCCTCTGAGTAAGCCCCCATGTTCTCCTTGGATTTATTGAGTTTTCAAGGATATTGACTTTGAGGAACTTCCTGTTGCTTTTTTTGCTGTAGTTCTTCAGGGTCTCAACAACCTCCACATATTTTTGGCCTAGTGATTCCTCATAAAGCCCCAAGCCACTGCAACAAAGCCACTTTCTTCATCCTAGTTAGCTTCTTTGGGGAATTCCTTACATTCTACGATCTTTATTTGTAGTCCGACGAAGACACTGGCTTTGACTTTTGCCGCAGACAGCTTAAGGAAGAAGTCTTGAAGGTACCTGAAGGCTGCAGATTTCTCATCTAGAACAGTGACAAATTGATTCATAAGGCCCAATTTTAAGTGCAGTGGTGGAAACAATACATTCTGAGAGTCCAACAGTGACTCCAATTTGACTGTTCCTCCCCAAACTCAACTCAGTCTGCAGTGTAGCATCTTAATAGGATTTTACTCATACAATTTCCACATTTTAACTATTAAAAATCTATCTGGTTGGTCGTCATCCAAATTGACATCACAGTAATAATTTTGTAGCTATTTCCAGAACAGGTAAGTTAGTTATGAGGAAAAGTTTTCTCAGATTTATCATAGTATGCACCTGTGAGGAGACATTTTTGAAAATATAGAGAAGTAAATTTGTATTTTCCACAAGCATTTATCTAAAGTAAACAAACAGTCCTGATCACCTATTCTATTTACTGTACACTACACAACAACTCCATTTAACAATATCTTGAAAGTCAGATTGTCTTATCAATTATAAAAAGAAAAAGGATACAACACTATATTTGACATATTGAATATTCACTTTGTATCATGTTGATAAAAATGACCTACAATTTCAATAGCATAGAACTCTGCAGTAGTAAGCTCAGTTTAATAAATAGATTAAAATTATTTCTTTGATGCCATGAAAAGTATCACCTACTTATTGTCTCCTTAACACTTCATTAATAGTAATACTGGCATTCTTGAGGATAGGTCAATCAGATAACTTCCTCTCTGAAACTAGATACTTGGAAAACCAAAACAAAATGTCAAAGACCCTATACCAAAGAAAGGTAAATTCCTACAGCACACCCCAACCTCAAAATAAACCCAAGGAACTTTTGGCTTTGACGTCAATCCTCTCTACCTTCTCACCAGAATGTGGGACAGGCTGGTCCACTCCTCTACCAAAGAACTAATTAAGACAACTACCTATTACAATGGGGTAGCACTATCTTTTTGTTCTTAGCCTACTAATACAATTTTAATGTTCTGTATGAAACTGGGAATGAAAAATAATATGCAAAAGTCATTATTGCAATAATAGAAGCAAATACCAAATATTCAGAGTTTTCCTTCTCCTAGACTAGTTGCCATCCAAGGCTATAGAACCCAGTCTGTCCTGCCATTTACCCAGAGCTGGAGGGAGATGAAGAGGATTAATACCTTTCCTAAGGGCATTAGCACGTAAGTGAATGTAATGGATTCGACTGGAATTTGAACTAGACTCTCAGATTCCTCAATCCAAGCTGCTATCCACTACTCCACTCTGCCTCCTTATATATATATATATATATATATATATATATATACACACACACACACACACACACACAGGGAATGAGGTGTAACATAACTCAGACAAGGAAAGAAAATTCCATTCTTCAACAAAATTTTTTACTTAGAGTGAGAAAGTGACTGACAATATGTTTCTTTGAGAAATTTGTAATGACATTAGGGTTCTAGTTTGTTCTAGAAATCGTCAATTAGGTATGGTGTTGTCGTGTTTCATTGAACTGGGACATTTTCTTGTGTTGTAAGGTGATATATCTATGTTTACAGGCTGATATTAGCATGGCCACACAATTTTTTTTTTTTAACAGGAGATAATGTAGTGCGTTGTATGTTACATGCTATATGCATACATCCTAAAAAGCATCCCTGGAAGAGAAACAAGACATCTATGGCATCCTTTAGCTGAACATGTAAGAGAAAAAGCATTTTGTGCATTTTTCTTTTATACCTCTTTCCTTTATATGACACCACATGGAGGTGTGTTAGGAAAAGTCACCACACAGACAAGGGGAGATAATTCCACATTATGAACTGCAAACTACCAATCTTCAATGTCTCAAAATCATTACAGTCTTAAACCTATAAATTTATTTACATACGCATGAAGACTGACCTCTTCAACTCCTGGTTGTGACATCTGTTGTGGAGGATTTCTAAGCCAAGTTGTCCCATCAAAACTCTGAAGCAACTCACAGCAATAATAATGATGAAGTGTCTTTGGACAAAAGTAGACAATTTCAAACTCATTCTGAAATAAAAAGATACTTTTATCAAAATCTCTATAATTTCATGTGGATGTTTTTCTTTTTTTTTAGATCTTTATCATAGGTAAATTATGAGCATGGGTCGTCAAATGTAGATTTAATTTTTATGGTTTCTTTTGTAGGTTATTTAAAATCAGAAATAACAATCTGATAATTACTGCATGTTCACTCTAAACAACCACTATGGTAGCCTTTTGCCAGACCTAATTATTTTTATACATTTTTAAAGAATAATCATTAACAATTTGTTAGGCAATCATATGCAAATTCGATTGATAGATTTTTTACGGCTTATCAACATTTCGCAAGTGATTTAAAACCAGAAAATATTTTTAAATTTGAAGAATTTTGAAAATAATAATGATTTACCGATACCAATTAACCCATAGCTTGGGGAGAAGTGGTGAATTCATACCTTTCCAAAGAGTATTTGCATGTAACTGAATATAACAAACCCAACCGGAAATGGAACTCAATTATTTGATTTCCTGTTCCAAGCCATTACCCTTTACATCACACAGTATTCCCAAATGACTACCAATCCAGCTACTGACCAAGCTTGATGTTGCTTCACTTTGGTGATCGTATGAAAAATAGTGTTTTAACATGATATTGCCATAACCCTTTCAAATGTAGAATCTGGTCAAAGAAAATATTAAATGCAGATACGTAATATAACAGAAAAAAGGAGATACAAACCTTTTTGGTTTCTTGTAAACTATTGGAAGTAATTGTAACAGTTGGTCCTAAAGTATAGGAACAAGGCTTGTTCTGAGTGTTAGATAACATGGCTTCTTCAATATACTGGCAAATTATCTCCCCTGGATTCTCATCGGCACAAAGAAATGCTATTTTCAACAGTGGATCATATTTATCAAAGTAATAATACCTGTTAAAAAAATAATGGTTTGGGAATTTGAAGGTCATCATATAGAAAATGTTAATTGTTTAGTTATATAAATCTATGCAAAACATTTGATTTATAACTATTTGATTTCTATCAATAATCATAAGATTCTTAGACTCCAGACAATGTGTAGCAGCATTTTACACTATGTAATAGTCAAGACTAAGAGGTTCCTGGCACACTATCATTTTGGTTATATATATATATATATATATATATATATATATATATATACTAGCCAAATTACCCATGCCCTGCTGCATGTCACACATTTTTTATTTTGTAAGAAAATGATTGATTTTAAATCATTGTTATAATTTGTGGAGAAAAATGATGCATTTCAATATTACTCAATGAACTTGTCAATGTGACCTCCATCTGCTGGCTTTCTCCTCCTATATTTTAGATAAGAGCCATTCCCTTGTTCAAATTTAAATTTAATTTACATCAAAGGGAAATTTTTTTTTTTCTATCTCCATAACCCAAGGTGGAGTTTGATAAAAGACAGAGGCTACAAATAATATATATGCAAAACAAATTCTGAGAATTAAGCTGTAGAAAAAGACAGTATGCATAAAGGAAAAAAACCGATGCATTACATCCAATGTGAACTTTTTCAATGCAAAAAAAATCGAAATGAATTTATTGAAACAAAGTATCTATAAACAAAAGAATAAAATTTAGAAATGCTATTGCATATTCATTTGGTCAATTGAAAAATGAAACCTGCAAAAAAAAAAAAAAAAAAAAAAAAAAACAAACTCATCTATGAGGACAAAATAAATAACAATTTAACAAATGCACTAGTCATATATAAAAATAAATTCAACCACAATTTTGATTTTGAAAGTGCTACACTCATAAAAAAAAAGAAAGAAAATAATTCACTCAGAAGGAAAATCCTCGAGAGTGCTGCCATTGAATTTTATCCAAATATTAACTTAAGCCCCAGTTTTTCCTAATATCACCTTTCCTGACAGAATCACTACTCTCCCAAGCCAATGCATACAACAAATACATCAAAATGATAAAGTGTTGCACATACACATACATTTATAGATATTTTTAACTTATCTTTTTGTAGATTCATAGATGTGCTTATATTGGTTTTTCCTTGATATTTTGTATACATGTTGGTGTGTGTGTGTGTGTGTATAGTGTATTATATATATGCAGCATGCATTGTATTGAAATGGTCTAGGATTGATTTTTGGTAGTGGATGCACATTGCCAGTGAGTCCCAAATAGGATAAAATGCCCATACAGTGCTTTCTGCATTCTTTTGAGGATTCTTCTAGACTATGAATTACTATATGATTATTCTAATTCCTTAAAATCTTTTTCACTTGTATATCCTTACTTGACCCAACTAATGCTCTGCAATTGGGTTATGAATAATTGGATGAGTATCACCACAAATTTTGTGAGTAATGGCTATATCAAGTCTATTCAGTTTCTTCTTCATCACTGAGGCCTGTTGGTACAGTTGGTATGACATTTGCATTGTATCAAAACTGTCCGGGTTTCTTGGTAGTGGATGTGCACTGCTAATGAATCCTAAAAGAAATGGCTGTCCAGTACTTTCTGCATTCTGTTGAGAATTCTAGACTATATATATATTATATAATACACTTATACACATACACTGTTATAAATCTATAATGTTATAGATTACATTATATAACTAAAATAAAAGTCTATTATTAAGAATTTATATTTATTTCTATGGCGATTTTTAAATATTATCTAATTTATTTGGTTCAACAACTGGCCAGGTTTTTTGTACTTAATTATATTAATTTTCTCCTCCAGGAACAGATGGTACCCGTTTCTGAAGTTGTTGGGAGTTTCTAATTTACAGATGATGCTCCACTCTGTGGAATAAAATCTGTCTTTCAATTTCCAGAAATGTTTTGAGAGAGCTGTTTGATGTTTTAAGGAAGTGTCAGAGAATGAATATTAGAACCTCTGTTTCTAACTCCCAGCAGAAATTCTGATGTATACTTTTTATCCTTAATAATTTCTTTTGGGAAGCCTAGTATATCACATTTTCAAATTTACCTATACCTCCAACTGGGCAATTATCTTTGATTCTACAATTACAAGAGAACTTGATATCTAATTGATTGTTATTGTACAATTTATATAATATTATATTATTATGACTATTAATAATATTATAGAGGTTGTTGGTGCAGGAATAAGTAATTTTTTAAGTATTTCTATTAAAAATTGTATGTAGGGGGTTGTTTTGACTAAATGTTTATATCTTAATTTGAGAAAATATTTACCAATATTTATGTTAGATAGTTTGCATAAAGGGGTGGGGTTAAACCATATTACTTTTCTGTGTTTAGGTCTAGTCTTTATATTATCTTAAGGATTCTTGGTAAAATAATTTTTGTTTAAAGTCACTTTTTTTGAGGGCTTCATTTTTATATTTTCATTAAAAAATTTATTCTTAGTAGATAATCTATTAATTCTAGTGGGGTGATTAGAGTTGACATTAATAGAAACAGTATCATTATTTTTGTCTACTTTGTAAGTATTTATTTTGTTAGAAAGCAGTTTGTGATATTGGGAGGGGTTAATCTTATAAATATTTCTAGATTTGTTGGCTCTCACCCACATATATTCCAAGTTATTAAGAATTTTAATGTCTTTGTTTATATTATGTTGGAATTTGTTGGATTATTTTCTAAATCTAATTTTTTTAAATTAAGTTTAAAATATCAGCTTCAAAATGATCTAGGAGTTTGGAGATTTTTTGAGATATTAGACCATAATTTTCATTTTTGAAAAATTGTGCTTCAGAAGTGTTTATGTAAAATTAGGTTTTCCATCATAATCTTTTTAAGTCAATTTCATCCATAAGAGCAGAATGCCAGTTTTGTCTGGTTTACTTTTTTAATTATCTGGCTGAATTTATTAATTAAAGTGTATCAGTCTGAAGAGCCAAATAAAAATTATCTGTTGAAATAAATTTATTTATGTGATTTTAAGTGTGTTTATTTTTTTATTATGAATTATATTGCTCTGTATACTTTATACATTGAGATCTCTTCTTGGTTATTACGCTTTCATATTTCTATATTAAAAAGGCCTCCTTTGGATGATTCCTACTACTTGTGAATTTGAGATTATATATATTTTTGTGTATATTTTGGCAGCATGTTTTCATTAAAGAATGTCTCATTGAATAATTTAGACAAGTTTTGCCTACTTATTTTCAATAGGATCCTCTCATATTCATAGACAATCTTCTGTTAGAAAAACAACACCCCTTGATGATGACACTGCGCTAATGACGAAAATACTCAGAATAAATGAATATGCATCATCATGGTAATTTTCTCTTCCTTTAATAAGAGGCTTGTTTTGTAAACATAAAAGAATCCTACTGAAAATAAGTAGACAAAACTTGTCTAAATTATTCAATGAAACATGTCTTTATATATATATATATATATATATATATATATATATATATATATATGTATGTATGTATGTATATGTATTTTTATTATTTCAAACATAATTATTTAGTGGATACTTGTATTTGAAATAGACAACCAATTTTTATTTTAAACAGTGTGTATTACATCAAATCAGCCTGTGTATTTGAAAAATCTTAAAACATGCTCTCCAATAGGAATAAAAACTGCATCCCTCTTTGTAGGAGAAATCACCATTTTATCTGGCATACTTTACTGCTTGGCTACAGAGAACCTCGCAGTACAGCAAAGCTCTATTTTCTTTTTTAAGCACATTTCCTCATTCAGATATTTTTCACAAACACCAATATCTGCTCAGTTTCATATCTGAAATGTAAAAATATTTGAATGAGGAAGTGTGCTTTCCATATGAGGGGGAAAATATTCAGTTTTCTTTTATCTTTCTTCTACATTTTATCATTTCTTTTCCGCCCCCGCCTCAATATTGCCAACCCAAAACATCCACATTCATGGTAATTCTTAAGACAGAAGTCACAACTTCACAATGCATATGATCTGGCAGTGTTTTCAAAGTTTGCAAAAAGCCCATTTTATGCAAGTTCTCTGTCCACATGCAACCACAACAGTCAGAGAAATTTGTTCATTTCCATCCCCAAACATTACTTGAATTAACACAAAATATTTTTGATCGCAGTGTTTTATGATTTTTTTTTTTTGTAGCTATTCTTATTTTTGTTTGTAGTTTGATATTTTTGACAGATTTTTTTAAATTATTGAATGATAGGATTAAAATAAATGGAAAAGACAAATGCGATGGGTAAATTGTTGTCTAAATTACACAAAAATATAAATAACACTGACATCATTTTAACATATATTTACCAAAATTACACAAAAATTTTGAAATACTAAAGATTAAATTTATTCAATAAAATTGCCATTGGCTTTAACTACGGCCACCAGACAACTTCAGAATCTCCTGCAATTCCTCTTTTAAGTTGGTGAATGCTGCCATAATTCTTGCCTTCAGTTCATCTTTGGTGTTACAAAGAGTTTTGCTGGTCTCTCGCTCAACTGTGCCCAACACATAATAATCAAGGGGGTCGCAGTCTGGGGAGTTAGGTAGACAGATGTAAGGGGTAATATGATCACAGAAATTGTCTGACAGACATGACTGGGCTCTCCCACTTGTGTGACATGGTGCAGAGTCTTGTTGCCAGACATAGGGTCTTCCAGCAGCCACTCTCTTGACCCAGAGCAGTACTACCTCTTCAAGGCACTTGATGTAGGCTTCCATGCTGAGTCTGAGGCTTTCACCAACAAATTTGGGAGTTCTTTTAAAAGAATAGTCAGTGCAAGTTTTCTGAGCTGCCGTACCTTTGTAATAATCATTAGACTCATTCAACTCTTTCTAAATCCCCTTCCCTGTCCTTTGATTGACACCTAAACACTGTAAAATGTTCATATTGCAGCTACCAGTGTGAATGTGAAGCAGTACAGAATGCTGTTTCTGAATTTCTGTTGGAGGGAATTGTGTCATGGTGCTGCTCTTTTTCTCACAACTGAACCTACTATTCTGTGTAGTCGACAAAATCAAAAAACAAAACTCACATGCACAAAATATGAAATAGCAACAATTTGTCCACTGGGCCCTATATATATATATATATATTTTTTTTTTTTTTCATATATATTTATATATATATATATATATATATATATATATATATTTAGGGAGCATATCTCCCTTTGAACAGGCTTCATTGAATACTATAAACATATATCTATTTATTTTATACTGATCCTTTCCAGTTCGTTAATCAGTTTCTTGATGTTAAGATGAAATTCATCAAGGAAGATGACAGTTTTTTCCTACCCAAGTACTTTCAATCTCCTCCAAGATCATCTTCAGGTGTAAATTACAAAGATAAACTTATTTTAACTGATAAAATCTGTATTTTTGTTGTGATGATGATTTAAACAAAAAAAAAAAAAAAAAGAAAAGAAAACACTATGCATGAACGTGTTCTAATTAGTTTAAAATTTAAAATGTATCCATTGTAGCTATGGAATCTTTTGTAAAAAAAACGTTTCAATATAAAGGAGCTGACCAGAAATTGGTAGCATGTAAGATGGCATTTGATGTTTGTTATATGCACTTCAACATGTTGCTCCTACACTCTTAATAAATTTTGTTGTGTGTTGGTCAATTTTGATATAGAGGGCCACGTGAATTCAAAGTTTCTGTTTATTATTTCTGTGGTGTAGCACATTGGTGTTGACAACAAGTATTTTCCTGTATCATGAACATGGGCAGGAATGTGTTTTTCAGATGTTACACAATAGAAATTGCATCAAGCAAATGAAGTGCAAGACGTCTTGATAAAGTTGTGGTCATCAAATTAACATATGTACCTACTTTTTTTGTTAGTGATACGATCTCCTAAAGTATATTTAAACTTATATATAATGTTTGTGTTTGAGCGTATATATATATATATATATATATATATATATATATATATATATATATATATATATATATATATATGTGTGTGTGCATATTCCTTTTATGTATTCTCAGTTTTTAATAATTTTAAAAGTGCCTTTTTAAAACACTCAAAAGAAGTAACTTTTTTTTAGTTACCCATTTAAAACCAGTTTCATGCATAACAATTTTACAAAAATCACTTTGAATGAAGCAGGTTGTAAACAAAACAAAAATATATTGTGTTTGTGTGTTATCTTGCAATAATTCATGAAATATCTTGTTCATCTGTTCTTAAACCAAAAGACATGAAAATTTCATTACATTTAAGTAGCTTTCACTCAAATATTATGGAAGTCATACATCAATGTGACCAACCATTCTAATTCGAATAATTACCAATGATTGATTTGGATATTTTGACAATATTGCCTACCTTGCATGTTGTATGATAATAATTCTCAAGTAATATTCTTATTAGCTTATTAACCTGTTGAATGTGCATCATTATTTCAGAAGTTTTCTGCAGGATCTTCATAAACCATATTTGACACATTTACTCTTTCCAAGGACCTTCCCCCATTAATTTACAAACATTTGGATTCTTGTTGATTTTCTTAAACTAAAAAAGCATAAACTGAAAATAATGCCTATTTTATTTCATTGTCAATATTAGAATAAATAAACAAAAGATACACCAATTTGGAAAATTAAAAAAAAAAAAAAAATTGTACACTATGACATTACAATATAATCCAAAGCAATATTTTAATGGAATATGTCAGAAGTAAAGACTCCTAACAACACAATATAAATTAAACAAATCTAACAACAAAAAAACGGAAGAATATTTTGTGTAATCCAACATTTAAAAATATTTTGATATTTGTACTTACCAATATGTCCATTTGTGATTATCATTTTTCACTTTCTTAACACGTAACATATTGATGACTTGATTCTCTGATACGAATTCTATCTTCGTTTTGTTTTCCTCAAATTTCTTTGGTACATGTCTATCTTGCAATATAATGAGAGATTTCAAATCTATTGCATGGTTTTCTTTCATATAGCGAATGATAGCAAAATTCAAAATTTTCTCCATTTTCTGTTTAGAAAAGTATAAAAAGAAATATTTATACAAGTTTTTGAAGCATATTTACAATAATCTTAAAGAACTTCAAATATATACAAACTAAGTGAAGTGAATTTTTAAAAATCATATTGATACATGCTTTTTTCTGCTAGTAATTGCCTTCCATAGATAATTATTGTCATGAGTGTATCTATATAAGTCTTACCAGATATTGTTGTGAAAGTACCATAAGCAAAACCTCTGAGAAATGAAGTTTGTCAATGCAGCAATGTGGTTTATTCTGTTTCAGTTGTGTATATAATAAAAGCATAATATAAAAATTATATAAAAAATGTAGAAATTATATAATATATATTTATATAAGCATTGCAGACAAATGTTTCAACACTGCTTATATTTACATACACTTTTCTCTCATAAATAAAGCATTAATTAAATGATTTTTCAAATTACCTGATTTTTGATCCACGTAAATAATATTTGCCACAGAATTAAATATATTGAATAAGAAAATCAAGCTGAAAAATAAGTATTTGTTATTTAAAATATTTTTTATTCATTAGGCTGCAGACTGACTGATGTAACTAATTGTTGGATTTTGTCCATTTGATAATGTGTGATGTCATTTGTTTACGCCATGAGCAGACATGAATGTACGCGAGAGATTCATGGAAGATTGAAGTTTAAATACAGTAAATTCTACCTTGCTAACTGAACGTTCCTTCGTGGCCAAATCAGTATAGGCACGTCAAGCTAAATGACGTTTCCGTATAGGATACAGGTTCGAATCCTGTTAGAAGATGAATATTTTCTGTGAAAATTTCTCAGACATTCAGGCCGGTAAATGTTGTTTAATACTGTTTATTATAAACAGAGCATTTACTTAAATATTTGCATTTATAAAAAGAATCTTAAACATAAAAATGTCTTAAAATAATTGTTGGACTTTGTCCATTTCATAATATGTGTGTGTTTGTGTGACTCAGGACCTTTAATCTGATGATTACTTAAGGTGTGAAACTGCCAACCATCATGCATGCTTGATTTTTATATCTGCACTGTTTATATATATATATATATATATATATATATATAAGCTGCTATTAAGCATTACTCTTCAAGTATGAATTGAGTTCTGAGCCACTGATGTATTTCATATAGAGAAAAACACTAAAATTCCCATCCTTTCTGCTGTGCGATGATGGCCTAGAGGTAAGATATCTTGCTGATGTCAAATAAGTTGGATTTTGATCCTGGCTTGAAGCAATCAGATGTCTAGCCACACTGAGATGCTGTGATACAGCAAAACACTGTTTGTGGATGACATTATATATATATATATATATATAGTATAAAATCATCTACTTTATGTGGACTGTCTCTTCAGGATGCATTGCAATCATGGCACTCCACAACTTCATATCCTGTTTATCTCTAAGCAATATTTGGCACTTATTATCCAACTCACTTGATTTTGGCATCCATTTACACGAGCTCTTTTGGTAGAATTCTTAGTGTGTCATTCCGTCTCTCTTGCCTCCAATGTGCCCTAGAAATTTCAACTGTCTCTTCCTGATTCTATGAACAAGTGTCCTTTTTTGATCCCAAACTAATTAGAAACCAAACCTTAGTGGCAAAGACTCAAGAAATTTACTCTATAAAGCCTATACATTTCTTGGTGCAAGCTTTAAAATTGATCTTTAATTGATTATGCAGCAAAGGAATTTGAGAAACAATCACATGATTATCTTTCTAAATAGGTAAATTACTCGGAAATTTCTCCATATAAAAGGTGCTTAAATAGAGATTGAATTAGTAATATGAGAAAACATTGATCAAGCAGCCAGTGCTACTTTTGGTTGAAATTTATTAAACCTTTCTATTAAAAGATATTTAAGAAAATAGGTTTCTCAAGTCCAGTATCTTATTGTTCGTTGCAGTATTGAGAAGGGTTTCCTAACTAACCTTTTATTTGAAGTAGTGGTTGATTATATCACTTTTTCAGAGTTACAGGTGGTATCCATTTTATTTGTTGCTGCTGTTGAAAGTCCTCAAGTGATGTCATTTCTGTTTAATACAGTTCTTCATGATTCTGTAGCAGCAGTTAACAAGCTTTGAAGAAAGGTAACCTACAGGTTTTATTTGCTGGAAACCATTTTTTAAACAAAGGCTGACAATTTAGATATTTTGGAACATGCTGAATGCTATACATGGCATCCATATGAAAGTCTGGATCTGACAAGGATATTTAAAAAATGCAACTTCATAAAATAAGGAAACAAGTCATAAAAGCACCAAAGAAAGAAAAAAGTACGAAATTCATGAAAACGGAAAAAAAAAAAAAAAAAAATAATAACCCAATTATTACCCATCATAAATAAAATTTAAAAAAATAAAATAAAAGAATCCAGTAAAACTATAAAAACAAAATAAAATTAAAATCTATTAGTACTTCAGAGTCTGGAAAACTGAGATAGGCGGGTACAAGAGGAGGAGGACAACAACACTCAGAAAACAGTCTGCCTGCCTTATGTGAAGGGGTTATCAGAGAAAATACAAAGGATCTGTGGTCCATATAACATCAGGACAACCTCCAAAAGCTTGACGACACTTTGCAGATATCTCTCCCGAGTAAGACCCCCCCCCCATAGAGGAGAACATGACTAAAGACTGTGTGTACACTATCCCATGCAGAAAGGAATATAAAGGAGAGACAGGCCGCCTCCTCAAGGTAAGGCTTCAAGAACACCAGAAAGCTGTAACACAAGGGGAAGTAGAAAAATCAGGCATGGCTGACCACATATATAGAGAGAAGGGAGATCATCACCCTCTGTGGGATCATGTTGAGATCATTGACAAGGAACACCATTGGAAAATTCGTAAACTTAAGGAATCAGCACATATGCTAGGCCACAAAAACCTCCTGAGCCAAACAAGCATAGAAATAAATACAATATGGGAACCAGTAATAAGGAGTGCCAGAGAAAAGCAATGATAACAACATAGTTGCAATATGAGCTCTGGTAAAAACATGAATGATAACAGAAAAATTGCAATATGAGCACTGGTAAAAATGATTGCTGAAGACATGAGGTTTATAATACCCAGAAATTCAAGGACACATGGCACAGTGGATAATGGCGTTCGTTAGATCCAGTGACAGGACCCAAAGAGTGTGAGTTCAATACCCGGTTAAGATACCTGGTGGAGAACTTTCAGAGGGAAATTAACAGGTGATAACTGACATCCATCAAACATGGCACGTGGAACTAGAACAGTCTACCCCGGTGAGTGAAATAAAGTGTTCAGTTCGACATTCCAACCACCTGACGAAGGCCAGAGCATACAACGGCTGAAACGTTGTGATAAATATGGCGACAAAGATGAGAACAATAGTCCGAATAATGTAAATAATGTCTATTAGTACTTATAGGTTTAGAAATAAATTGGTAAATAATCAGAAAATAATAAATCTTCTTGGGCTAATGTTCTCAGCTGACATGTAAGTGGAAAGACTATATTGAATCCACTGCTAGGTCAGTTGTTAAGATAGTCAGCTCACAGGTGGCACATTTTTTTCTCTCTGGAATCTATCTTGGATATCTATGTCTACCATTCATCCATGCTTAGAATATTGCTGTCATATATGACCTGGTGCCTCTGCTATTCACCTGGGGCTCTTTGATAAGATCCAAAGAAGAATCAGTAATATTATTGGTCCTGATCTGGCAGCTTGGCTTCAGTCACTTGCCCATCAAGGTAAGGTTTCCTTTTTTATATAAATACTTTCATAATAATTGTTCAGATGAGCTCTTTGTATGGTACCTACACTGGATGAATTTAAGCGCAATATAAGACTGGCAGTGAGATCTCATAAATTTATAGTTCAGCTGGCTAGATGTAGCCATAACTTCTGTACTGACAGTTTCTTTTCTTGCACTATTTGTCTGTGGAACTCCCTTCTGACTCCATGCTTTCCAGGCAACTTTAATCTTCAAAAATTTAAATGCAATGTCAATCACTCTCTACTGTCCTTCTTTCTACTCATTACTAATGTTTCTGTTCTTAATTCCTCCATACCCTGTAACCCATTTTGTTTTAGTGGCATTACTGCCTTGCTTAGAGGGATACCAATTAAAAAGAAAAAAAGAAAAAGAAAATCCAAAGTGTCTCATTAAAAAAAAAAAAAAATTAATAGAAGCAGTGACACCCCTTTGTCACATCTGTATCATGGCTGAAATAATTATTTGTATATGATGCCAGATATCAGTGTTCAAGTCTAAATAAATGCCAGGATTTCGAGTGCTGATTTTCAAAGCAGGTCATGAATAGCCCAACATGCAATTTAAAAATGAGAGATACCAAAACTAATCAAGTATAAACATGTAAATATTTGGAATGTGTTTTAACAGAGGATGGAAAGTGCGACACTGAAATCCAAAGGCGCATTAGAATAGCCAAAGTGCATTCCAAAAGCTAAACAAAGTAATTAGAAACGGAAAAAGATTTCATTAGAAAAAGGGTACAGAATAACACATCGGTCCTCCTATATGGCAGTGAATGCTGGACAATCTCCTTGAAGATTAAGAGATATGAAGCAACAAAAACGCAGTTCTAAAGAATTGATAATGAATATACCATGGACTGAATGTGAGCAATGACAAAGTGTTATAAAAAAATGGAAACAAAAAAGACACTTAACACCAGGAAGAGACATTTAAAATTTCTAGAGCAGTTGATGAGAAAAGAGGGCTTGGAAATTTGATACTCACAGGATAGATTAAAGGCAAACTAGGACAGTGTAAAACAACACATAGCCTATCTAGCAAGCTGGGGTAAATGAATGGCGG